TCAAGCAATTTAAGTTTTTAAAAATTGATTGTATCAAATAGGAAATCAGAAATTCTATTTTGAAATATTTTAATCGTATTTTTTAACGGATACAATTATTGACGCAATTTTTATTATTTTCTGGTAAATTGATGATTTTTTTTTTTTTTGGTTTTGATATTTTTTTTTTTTTTTTAGTCATCAATAAGTTTCCCAAAGTGGAGCCGGCATTTCATGTCAGACAAAATGAGTTAAAAGTGCAAAGCTATTTAAAATTGTTTATAAACTGGGAGGTTTCTTTTTTTAATAAGTCACTTTACAGTCATTTTCCAATTATGACAAAGTATTTAAGTGTAAGTTCGAGTGAGAAAAAAAGAAAAAAAACAATAAAACAATAACATCTGAAAGGCAGGGACCAACAAAAAAAATTAATAAATAGAAAGAAAAGACAGAAAGAAAGACCCCCCCCCGCCAAAAAAAATGAAGAAAAAACAAAATGAAAAAAAAAAATGTCCGTTGTTGTAATTTTTGTGTATATGAACTAAGAAAATATGATATCGCCAAAAACTGAAAGTGATCAATAGCGGAGAGGTGGAGCAAATAAGGGTGAGACGTGAGAAATGTTTTATTTTAAATGCGCGTAATTCTATCAAATATGAGTCAAATTATCCTTTATCAAGCAGATATTGAAATAAAAAAAAATAAAAAGAACGAAAAAGAGACAATCACCTTTTTTGCCCCACCTTTAAAAAAAATGAAAGAAAAGAAATAAAAAAAAAATTGGTCGGAAGAAAAAAAAAAAATTAAGGAGTCTAGTCGCAAGTTTGGTGCTGTCGTCTCCGCTGTTACAAAAAAAAGAACATTTAAAAAAAAAAAATGGTAAAATGAAATTAGAAAAAAAAAAAAAAAAAAATTAAAACAAGCGGAAAATGAAACCACCAAGCCAATCACATAATAGTTTGTTTTTCGTTTACTCTATCGAGTTAGATATTTGAAAAAAAAAATTACAATTAAACACTAACCTGAGAAGCGAGAAAGAAAAATCAAATAAATGAATTAAAAAAAAAACCCCAGTAATGAAACAATTAACATTACGAAAGTAGTAGAAAAAAAAACTATCGTGAGGTGTCTTCTCTTGCTGAAACGAAATGGAATTTCACTTATTCAATGATGATTTCATTCTTTATCTTCCTCCCAAATTCTTTTTTTTTTTTTTATTATTCCTATCAATTTGTAAATAGTTTTGATTTATAATATGGCAATATTTAGTGTTTCTTAGAATGTACAATCAACTTAAACGCCTTTTCAATATTTTGATACTTTTAACGAAAATTAAATGAGATGGGTGAAGAAGAAGAATTTTCTTTTCTTTTATGTTACCTTTGACGCTTTTTAATAGGATTTCTCTTTTGATTGAATTTTCGTTTTGCCCTTATTTATTACACAACTTGTTAGTTTATTAAATTCATGTCTCATATGAAAAGAAATGAATAAAACATTTTTCAAATTTCCTTTAATTCTTTTCGTTTCGCCGTATTTTCGTTTTTGATAATTCGTTTTTTTTTTTTTTACATGAAGTTTGTTTACTTTGTCGGTTTATCAATAAGTCGATGAAGACAAAATATTAGAATAGTGAAATGACGTTGGTCATGATGAGGTAAGAAAAAAATGAATTGTAATGATGTTGAATAGAAGAAAAAAAAAAAAGACCGCTGATACATGAGACGATGAAAAAGAATTTGAGGATGAAGATGATGATGATACGGAGCAAGATAGGGAAATGATGGTAATGATATTGAGAATAACAGAGGATGAATGATATAGCAGCGAACAAGGAGGAGGAGGAGGAGGATAGAGGAGATGATGATGATGATGATGATGAAGAAGGGGGAAGAAGAAGAAGAAGAATGAGGAGGAGGAGAAGGAGAAGAAAGAAGTGGAGGATAGAGGAGGAGGAGAAGATGACGATAATGATGAAGAAGAAGGAGAAGGAAGAAGGAGGAGGAGAAGAAAAAGAAGGAGGAGGAGGATAGAAGAGGAGGAGATGATGATGATGATGATGATGATGATGATGATGATGATGATGAAGAAGAATAATAATAAGAAGAAGTAGTGGAAGAAGAAAGAGGAGGAGGAGAAGAAGAAGAAAGAAGGGGAGGATAGAGGAGGAGGAGGAGGAGATGATGATGAAGAAGAAGAAGAAGAAGAAGAAGAAGAAGAAGAAGAAGAACAAGAACAAGAACAAGAACAACAACGACAACAACAACAACGACAACAAGAAATTAGAGACTGGAGAAAAGACAAAATGACTAAGTAAGTAAAAATAAAGAAAGAGTATAACCTAAGAGACGAAAAGAAGAGAATTTAAAGTAAAGAAAAAGGAAAGTCGAAGAAGACGAAAGAAAAAAAAAAAAAAAAGAAGAAGAAAAACGAAAAAGGCTGAGAAAAAGAATGGAAGAAACTGAAAAGAAGAAAAAATAAACAGAAAAAAAAGCCCTAGCTCAAAAAAAAAAAGAAAGAAAAAAAAAGAAAAAGAAAGTTTATTAAACAAACAATGTAACGTTTACCGGCGCGGAAAAGCCAATCGGTGTGAGTTCATACCTTGGAAAAAGGACGAATCTATCTTCTCCCAACTATGGCTAAAAAGTAGAGCAAACTTAGCATTGTTGCTTTAGATGACAACCAGTCTACGAGAAGGAAAACTCTGAATTCAAACCTACGTAAATAACAAAAGCTTTGGGGGATTAACTAATCCACAAAATATAACTTCTCAAAACCAGTTTGATATCCATAATTTTTCATGGGTAAATAGCAGGGCAGACTGGGTTCTATAGCCTTTGATGGCAACTGGTCAAAGAGAAGGACAACTCTGAATTCAAAATCTACGGAGGGTCATTTGGGGACCCTGTGGCATGTAGTGCATCAGGTCTCTGTATTCGGTCCTTCAAAAAGTGTGGATGGTTCTGCACGAAACCTTCACCACTATAATGAAATCTCATGTGCTGTTGTCGGTTTCCTAGGAACTGATCTGCTTGACCCTCATACGTCGAATTCGACGGGAGAGTCGAGTATAGAGTATAATTTAATTTTTAATATAGACAAAAACATTTAATATAGAAAAAACATTTAATATAGACAAAAACATTTTACTCACTACAAAGATTCAACTATGTTTCAGTGCATTTAAAATTGCACTTCGGCTGGTGAGAACCAAAATGGTTATGAACAATCCTGTTTGTAAGCAAGCCATATGTGAAACGTCACTTTTTTTTCCATTTGTTTGAAAAAAAATACATAAAGGCAAAAAAGGTGACGGAGTTAAACAATAATTATTGCTCTACTATCGGTACGAACCCTTTTTTGAATTAATGCTGTGAACGTTAGAATTTATATATTATTTTCATTCTCATTGCATATATATATATATATATATATATATATATAAATATGAATATATATAAATATATATATACACGTTTCATTAAATAATATAGACAAGTGTTGTCTATTTATTTTATGTAACTTTTTTTCGTAACGTCTGATAAGTTTAATAACATTATCATTGAACGAAGAAAGAAATTCACAATATTGATCCATATTTTTTTAACATAATCTAAGCTTTCGGCTTACTTAATCCATTATCAAAGATGTCAATTACAACATATTAAGCAATATACGGACAAGACAGTGATGATAGTCTGTCATTGTTTACATAGATGATTTCTAAGCAACGATAAACACGCGCATATAAGACGCTAGAAGCGAAAATTGCACCGCATCTCATGACGTCACACATGACCACACGAGACAACACTTGTCTATATTATTTAATGAAACTTGTATGAATGAAAAGATGCTGCCTAAATACACACAATTTAAATATATATATATATATATATATATATATGTATATATATATATAAATCACTAAGGCTAAATAACGATTTTGAGTTGTTCTTCTCATAGATTGGTTGCTGACCATGGCTAGTGAGTCAAGTTTACCCTTCTGGGGAAATAAGAGATGGATTCACACCTTCCCAAAAATGTATTTGCACAAAAGTTAATACGACAAACTTAGCAGGAATTTGAACTCACAAAGTTGTTTTTCTATTCTGAGTCGCTAACTGCTACACTAACCACACGTTCAATAGGTAACCCGCTACTAGTGGAGTGACTAATAATGCGAAAAAAAAAGTAAAAAATGAACCCGATATTCATAATGAGAGAGAAGTCTTAGCAGAAATTGCGATCATGATTTTGGTGATAATAGATTTCAGTTCTTTTAGAACTGTTCTCGGTCGGGACTTATTTGATGGCCAGCTTTTTTTTTACTCTTTCATTTTGAATCTATCAATAGACGCCATCATTTTAGCCTGATTGGTGTTACACGGCTTAATACGGAACATTAAGTATTTAAGAATTCATTATTATTCAGCGATACAATGGCTTTGCGAATTTCCATTTTATCTCCTTATTTTTTTCTGATAATACTGATTTTTTCTTTCTTTCTTTCTTTCTTTCTTTCTTTCTTTCTTTCAGTAATGTTCTTTATTTTTCTCCTTAATTCCGCATTTCTCCCTATAAGTTCTTTTTATCTCCATCTTTCTTTCTTTTCAACGTTCCACTTTTCACTTCTCTTCAACATTTCTTTGTTTTTTCTTTGTTTGTTTGTTACTTTCTTTCGTTCTTTTTCTCTTCTCTTTAACTTCCTTTTGCTTTTTCTTTCTTTCTTTCTTTCTTTCTTTCTTTCTTTCTTTCTTTCTTTTTTTCTTTCTTTCTTTCTTTCTTTCTTTCTCCTCTCTTTAACTTTCTTTCTTTCTTTCGTTTCCCTTTTCTCTTCTCTTTAACTTCCCTTTCCTTTTTCTTTCTTTCTTTCTTTCTTTCTTTCTTTCTTTCTTTCTTTCTTTCTTTCTTTCTTTCTTTCTTTCTTTCTTTCGTCCGAATTCAAACTAAAGCCTTAAAAGTAAGCACCATCCCACGGAAAAAAAAACAAACTTGGTCAATCTTCATTCGCCTACGAGCTATGTGTGTGTGTGTGTGTGTGAGAGAGAGAGAGAGAGAGAGAGAGAAAGAGAGATAGAGAGACAGACAGACAGACAGAAAGAGAGAGAGAGAGAGAGAGAGAGAGAGAGAGAGAGAGAGAGATAGCGCATGCGTGCCACTTTTTTCTCTACACAGACGCGGTCCATTTTAGCGTCTCTTTATATCTTCAGAATAAGTATAGGTTCCATGATTATCTCTATTTGTGATTTCTATTTTAAATATCTCAATAATGATAATGCCATCTGTCTGAAAACAAGCTTTTTTATTTGCTACAATTTATGGAGACTAATTTCGACTTCACAGTAATGCATAAAAAATGAGCCATATTATATTAAAGTGGTTCAATTTTATTTAGAGTATTATTATACAAATTATTCCAATTGACGTTTTCTATTTATATTATTCATTTCGGATCAGTGGATGATGATCTTCATTGAACATTTTAAAAATTCCCTCTCATTTAAGATAAAAATGGTACAGAAAACGATAGCATCTTTTGCCAGTTTATCTATTACTTTCTATTCATATTTCTGTGTTTTCTTTTTTTTTTTTTTTTTGTTAATCATTTCACTACAAGAAAGGAATTTTTTTTTCCACTTTGTCATTAATTTTCCTAACATTGTTCTGGTATATCAAATTTTCTATATTACTTTCTCCCGAGTGCAACTATGCTGAGTAGACCTTAATCGCAGTTTATGGGAAAGAGCGTGTTATCTAGCGTGATCAAAAATTTGAACAAGGCCAGCACACTCAAGCCCTCGGCCACGATGACTTCGTGCTGGCACAGCTATCGACGGCACCCAAAGGGTTCAGTCTACCCAATTTCGCTCACAAGGCTTCGGTCAACCCGTGGTAGGTTTTTCAGGCATTTTTCAAAGGACGGTCACATTCTGACCATGACTCCAGGGTTCGAATCTCAACATGGTCGATTTTTTAGGAAGAAGACTTCCTGATATTATTGGACTGGAGGGGCCGATCCCAGCGTGCGGCACCTTTGGAAAGTGCCTGAAAACCATACTACGGGTTTACCCAAGCCTTGTGAGTGAAATTGGGTAGACTCAACCCTTCGGGTGTCGTCGAAAACTGTGCTAGCGCGAAGTCATCGTGGCCGAGGGCTTGAATGTGCTAACCTTATTCAAATTGTTGATCACGCTAGATAACACGCTCTTTCCCAGAAGCTGCAACTAAGGTCAACTCAGCATAGTAGCAGTATAAACCACAGGTAGACACTGTGGGTGTTGAATAAACAAAAATCCGCCTGATCAAGCGTCTGCAATAAGGATTGGCTAGCCGCCCTAGTAGACGGGTATCCTCGAATACGAGTGGCCAGCTATATATATATATATATATATATATATATATATATATATATATATTGTAAAATAGGCATTCAAAGAATGAATCAATAAAGTTAATGTAATTAATGGCGAACTTACTTCGCTAACAGATTAAGAAGGCATTAACTCACTGACCACTCGCTGAACGACACGATCCTTGATTTTTATTAATTGTACAATGGATTAGATATTTGGTCCATATTGTTTGCAAGTACTTTCGGTAAAAACATTTACCATCCTCAGGCATAGATATTACTTTTTTTTTTTCAATTTCAGTTAATTTCGGGGAAAATTCCAAGACGAAAATGAATGTGAAAGAGGTTTTATTAAAAAATGTGTGCTATTGTTAAGAGTTAAGGATTTTTTTGAACGTGCAGTAAAGCGACGCTAGATTTTTGAATATTGTAGTAATGTAGTAATTCACAATGACTATTATTGCAAGTGTTTTTTTTCCGTTGACGTGACGTGGATTATTGGTCTAATAATTAGAGCAATGTCTTAAAAGATTTTTTTTACTGCATATCAACCATTTTTAAATTATTAAACAATGAAGCTCAAGTAATTAAGCTGCATTGTTTAATATATACATACATACATACATGTTTGTGTGTGTGTAACGAATGCACGGTCGCAATTTTCGACGGATTTGCACCAAAATTTACATGCACATGCTCCAAGTTAGCGGGAAGGCCAAGACCGACCTTGCATTTCCCAACTCCCAACGATAGTGGAAATAATCGATTTTTTCATGCTTCTATGGCAGATTTCAAGTAGTTTGCGGCCATTTTGTACTGGCCAGTGTGAGTGCCAATAGCTGGCTGCCACGAATAGGCAGGAAGGTTCTATTGGCCAGCGTAAGAGCCAACAGCTGACTGACACGAATGTTAACTAGCATAAAAAAAATCGATAGCTGCATTCGTCACAAGTGGGAAAAATTTAAATCTGCATGGCACTTTACTCCAATTGGCTCATTCGCTTGCTTAAACTCAACGTTGATTCTGATTCAGCAGAACTGGGTTAGGTGTGAAAAAGTATTTGTTGTTAACATTCTTTTTTCATTCGGTTTTTCCAGTTACGAGTATTTTTTTAAAGCTGATCGTTTTGTGTTCATTTTGTTTAGTTCTTTTTTCGTAACAGATTTAATGTTTAGTATAGAGCTTAGAAAAAATTCGCAGTGTGAGATAGGCAAGAAGTAAGGCATGTAGCAACATCAGCACGGCAAAGGGCACTCCTTTAACGGCAAGGGAGGGCAAAAATATTTTAAGTGAAGTGATAGCGATTGCTGTAGGAGTCGTACGATTTTTTAATCCAGCACGGGCAACGCCAGGCCATGCTGCTAGTATATATATAAGTGTGTGTGTGTGTGTGTGTGTGTGTGTGTGTGTGTGTGTGTGTGTGTGTTTGTTGACAGATAGCCAGGCTCCCAGGGGAGTGGCAAATAGGGTATTATTAGAGATGAATTTTATTCGCAGAAATGTTAACAAGTCTACAAAAAGCATGTAAAAAGAGAGTAAGCGCGCAATATCATTCCCTCATTTCTTTGGTTAAGAGTTAACAAATCTCATTTCACACCCTCCGCGCCAAAATATAATCCCACAAAATTATTCTTTCACAAGTCCAACCCCTAACACTTTACGCCTTGTCGCGTCACATTCTTCCTGCCACTTCCACAGCTTTTAGCGGTAAATCATTACCCTACGGTGACCATTTGCTTTATTCATAATTTTCGCTCGATTAGCCGCTGGCGACATCAGCCTGAGAGGTAGCGACCACATCGCCGACTGGTGGAATTATGATACGGTGTGTAAGTTCGCCATCTTAGTTTTATTGGATTATCCGGGCGATTTGTCTTTCTTTATCCCCTTTCCAAAACACCAACCACCTTTTTATTTCCAAACCACCGCCATCACCGAATCGCCAGTTCCTCACACATTTCGACATTTTCCTGTTATCTCTTTCTATTTTAAGTCGTATTTTTCTCTACATCCACAATGTGGTAAGCACCGTTCACCGCTCTTGTGTGATTGATCAGGAAAAACGCTTGCGTTTCTCTCTAAACGGATTAACCGTAGGCTGGAGTTGTGGGGTTAGGGAAGTTTCCTGGAGGACTGACTCGGGCGAGGTGTAAAAATCTAGCGCGTCACTTTGTCATTTGCACTAGCCCCTTTCTTCCCGTCCTAGAAATAATCAGTCCTTACGAACCAGTCTCTCTTAGCCACCATCTGACAGCCGCGTTTCAAGCGATGTAGAAAGACAAAGACGGGAGGGTGACGCCTGTTCTGGGTTTGAAAGGCAAGGGGGCCGAGCCAAGATGCTCTTTTCATGAAATTGTATCGGTATTAACGGACTTGATATGAAATTGATGCCTGTCGACAAGTTTTCATCTGTTTTTGTGTTTTCGGTTTTATTAATATAGGGATTTTGACGATTTGGTTATCCTGTGCTTGTGTAGAGATGATCTGCTTAGAATAAGAGAACTGTATATGTGTGTATGTGTATGTGTGTGTGTACAGGTTGCGGTGGTTAAATTGTCGCCATTTTATATTTTTAATTTCGCGCATGCGCGTTGTTTGTTTTTGATTTTGTCGGCTGCACGGTATAGTAGGGTCAGTTGTGTACCATCTGTGAGAAAAAGAGCGCCATGACGCAATTCACTCCGAATGAAATTTGGAAACGGCATCCTGTACTGCTTGGCATTCGCACCGGAAGCTTCAATTTCAGAGTATTTGTGTGTTTGACAGCGCAGAGGATTCGGAAAGAGTTGGATGATATATCCAGTCAGCATCATGGTGTTTAGAGTGATCACTAGTGATGGTGATGTTATGCTTTCATTCATCTTCCCACAGGATCCCAGACACAACACGAAGGCCTACATCAAGTGTCTTGGGGAGGTAGTGCTGGTCTGGGTCAAGAGGGCGGCTGCTAGAAGACCCTATATCTGGCAACAGAACTCTGCATCATACCACTCAAACAGGAGAACCCAGTCATGGCTGTCAGACAATTTTTGCGACCAAATTACCCTTTACATCTGGCTACCAAACTCTCCAGACTGCAACCCCCTTGATTATTATGTGTGGGGTGCAGTTGAGCGACTGACCAACAAAACTCCTGTAACACCAAAGATGAACTGAAGGCAAAGGATTATGTCCGCATTTGCTAACTTAAACAAAGAGACCGCCCAGAAGAGTTGCAGGAGATTCCGAAGTCGTCGGAAGGTTGTGATTGAAGCCAATGACGATTTTATTGAATAAATTTACTTTTTAGCATTTCAAAATATTTTGGGGTAATTTTGGTAAATATATCTCTTAAAATGAGATATCAACTTTATTTTCATTTTTTGCGTAATTTAGACGACAATTTATCTATTGCACTCTGTATGTATGTATGAAAGAGCGAGAGAACCAGCGAGAGAGAGAGAGAGAGAACCAGCGAGAGAGAGAGAGAGCGAGAGAACCAGCGAGAGAGAGAGAGAGAGAGAGAGAGAAAGAAAGAAAGAAAGACCGAGAGAGAAAAAGGAAGATAAAAAGATAATATATGCACATTTATCTACTTTACTAATTGTTCCCGAAAACAATGGCCATGAGCCACTCAAGGTAGAGTGTCACGGAATGAGGTTGTTGTATGAACGTAAGAAGAGGAATTAACAAGTGCAGTTTATGAGGATAGGTCGGCAAGACAACGTTTGAAATTATACTTGAAGTGGTTAAGATCGTAGTGATGGGGGAAAACATTCTCTTAGGTGTCGGTTTTAACAGAGAAGTGGTTCTTGAGAAAAAAAAACTGTCTGAATAGAACTTCCTCCTTACGAATGGAATATGAAGAGATGATTCGTCCCGATGTACGTGGCATGGTGGATCTTAGATTTCTTTTTTTTTTTTTTAATTTTATATTATATATATCAAAAGTACCGGTGGATAGCGACTCGGATTGAGGAATCGGAGAGCCGAGTTCGAATTACGGTCAAATCCATTATTTTCACTTACGTGCTAATACCTTTGAGAAAGGTATGAATCCTCTTCTTCTCCCCAGCTGGTCTACCGCAGAAAGAAATGGCACCCTACTGCGGGGAAAAATCTGCCTAGTTAGTCATGTATCGAAAGATGCATAATCGCCTAAGCGTGCATCCCGCATGGCACATAAATGACTGACTGATCATGCTATCTACGAACGAAAGTGATTACAGCTCACCACAATTTCCTTTAATCTTTGTGAATTGTCGTTTTCTGTTTTTAATTCGCCATTGTTCTTTTCCTAGACTGACTGCCATTCAAGACTAAACAGCTCAGTGCAGTCTGTTATTTATGGATCTTTTATCTGCCGTCTTACGAACATACATTTATATATCCTCTCGGATACTTTTCCTTAACGAATTAAACAATGTAAAACAAACGCTGATTAATAACCGATGTCCTATGGTGAAAACAAGGTTTTTACTAAAGTTATTAAACCTAAAATATCTGTTCGTTATGTAGACGATATATTTATTTTGGCTGAAAACTAGAAATAGAAAATCAAGTGATGGTGTGATGTAACATGATCACTTGACAAGACACCGAAGGTGTTGAAACAAAATGGCTATTTTTGTAGTGATTTCATATCTGCTCTACTTTGTATTGAGCACTCTTTTAAGAATAGTAATTTTTGGTTATTGGAATTTATTCCGTATACACCAATCCTATACTAATATGTATATATATATATATATATATATATATATATATATATAATGAGCAGACATGAATAGAGCCGATATAGAAAGAAATTTGGAGAAAGAGAGTGCGCAAAAGAAAGAAAAAGATTGAAGTAACGCTTGAGAGAGAGGACAAAGGAAACGGTGAAAAGAAAGAAAGAATAAAGGGAACTTGAAGAGAAGAGAAAAGGGAAGCGAAATAAATAAAGAAAGAAAGAAAAAAAGAAAGAAAGAAAGAAAAAAAGAAAGTCAAAGAAAAGGTGAAGAGAAGAAAGGAAACGGTGAAAAGAAAGAAAAGAAGGAAAGAAAGAGCAAAGGAAACTTGAAGAGAAGGGAAACGAAATAAATAAATAAATAAAGAAAGAAAGAAAGAAAGAAAGAAAGAAAAAAGAAAGAAAGAAAGAAAGAAAAAGAAAGAAAGAAAGTCAAAGAAAAGCTGAAGAGAACAGAAAAAAAGGAAACGGTGAAAAGAAAGAAAGAAAGAAAGACTAAAGGAAACTTGAAGAGAAGAGAAAAGGGAGACTAAATAAAGAAAGAAAGAAAAAAAAGAAAGTCAATGAAAAGCTGAAGAGAAAAGGAAAAAAAGGAAACGGTAAAAAGAAAGAAAGAAAGAAAGAAGGAAAGAAAGAAAGAGCAAAGGAAATTGAAGAGAAGAATAAAGGGAAACGAAATAAATAAAGAAAGAAAGCACAAAGTTGAAGAGAAGAGAAAAAGGAAACGATGAAAAGAAAGAAAGAAAGAAAGAAAGAAAGAAAGAAAGAAAGAAAGAAAACCTAAAGGAAGGGAAAGGGTAAAAGATGAAAAGAAAGAAAGATCGAAATAAAAAGAACTTATAGGGAGAAATGGCGGAAACTGAAGAGAAAAAAAAGGAGAAAATTACCTAATGAAAGAAAAAAAAAAACGTTGAAGTAATGCTTGAGAGAAAAGGACAAAGAAAAAGGTAAAAAAGTAAAGAAAAGAAAAAAGAAATAAAATGAAAAGAAATAAAAAAGAAAACTTTGAAAAGTGAATCTCATGATTTTTCTTGTCTCATCAGTTTCATGGTGTCATCTCTAATCACCTCTTCTCCTTCTTTTCTTCCTTAGGCATTTTCTTTCAGTCACTGTGGGACTCCAATTCATTTCACGCCATCTTTTCACTCTCTTCCTACATTTGACCCTCCACTCTAACTCGCCATCTTATCTTCCCCAATATCACCTTGCCTTATAACTACAGATTTCAATTTAGCCAGGACGTTATCGCCGTTGTTTTAATAGACGTATTTGTTACACATGATTATCACCATAAACATTTCCCGCTACGCGCGGCTTCCGTCATAATAACAGATCGCTTTACCACCAAACACGAGATAAATCAGTGGCAATGTATCACTCCGCCAGTGACGGTCAGAGGAAAATGTCTGTTTCTGATGTATGTACGGCCGGCGTCTTCCGACTGATAGATTAGTCCCGCACCCCTCAGGTAAGAAATAGAATTAAGCGTTACCGATAATGTCTCCTTCTTTTTCACACCTCCAAAACAAATCTCTATAGGCCTTAAGTGAATTACAATCGCCCGATCTAATGTTTTCTCTCAAATTCAGACAGCCAATGAATGATTTTACAATGTTATGCCTCATGTAAGTGAGAACTCCAGATGAGATCTTTAAACGAAAACTATGCAGCCTGAACTGATAAAAATGGCCGGATATTTCTTGAAATGGTACCTTTTCGCTATTTCAATTCCCTAATTATCACGTGAAAATAAGATAAATACACATATTATACCTATAATGCATTTATTCTGTACATCTCACTTAGGTTAAGCAACGTCGAGCCTGATCAGTACCTAGATGGGTGACCGCTTGGGAATACCAGTTGTTGTTAGCTTGGATGTAACTGTTAATGTAATGGTTAATGGCTTGGAAATGGAAATTGGAGAGCGGAGTTCCAATTCCAGTTGGGTTCGTTATATTCACTTACGTGCAAATACCCTTGGGAAAGATATGAATCCATCGCTTCTCGCCATCTAGTTGTTTGTTAATTAGTAAGATCTGTATCACTAAAACCATTATTATCTCAAAAAAAAAAAAAAAATTTATAATCAAAAAGTATTTTCTGGCTTTAAATAACCTGTAGTGGGTTGATAAACCGTAGAAAACGTGTGAATTAAATCAACCAATTTATGAATTTAAGAAATGCATCTTAATGCTTTTATTTGAAGAGTAGCAATGCCAATGATCAGGTTATTAAGCAAGAATGATTGACAGATTGAATCAATTCTAATTCTTATTTATAGTAAAATGGCTGTATTTTTTTTTACAATTTAGTAATAGAATAGAAAACGTTGAGTGTTTTAATAAGAAAAACGCATGAAATTTTAAATAGTCGCTTAATTCCTGAAATTATGCACATATAACTAAATGACTCTTTTATTCAAGAATTTAAACAAACGCCAAACTACACGTGGAATAACATTCTTTCTCTCTTGTCTTATCATTCTTTTCGGTCTGATTCTTATGATTTTAGTTCTTGAATTTCATAAGGGAAACTATAATATGGTAAAATAGTGGCTGCAGCAAGTACATGTTTTTCCCCCGCTATGCGAAAGTCAATAACTCAAAATGGCGTAAAACGAAGAAGTAATTACTATTATTCTATATGGAAAAAAAATTTGAGCGTCCACAAATCCAAAATATAAAGTTACATACGACTTTTGCTAGGATTGCAAAAAAAAAAAAAATCATTTTGAAAGGGCAATTTAGGCTTACGTTTGCTGAATTAGTTTCTGATTAAAAAAAGGCACAAGTTTATGGTTCATGAGCAAAAAAAACATGTGATGTATAATCAAATTATAATTTTAATCGTCTGAGTGAACCTTTCTTGACTTCCAGCAACATGGCTGATGCTAACCTCTAGGAGAGTGGTTCATAGCGTCTCCCTGCTCTAAAGTCTTCCACTGACATGAGGTGAAAAGATTATATTGCATCAATTGCTAGGTCTGCTGCAAGGAAAGTCGGTTTACTGTATCGTGGTAGACACCCTTTCTGACCAGAATGTCTCTATAAGTCTTCCATTGGTCTTTGCATTCAATATTGCTTTCGCATTTGGACTGGTTCTTCGGCTATGTATTCAGAGATTCTTGATAAAAATAAAAAGAAGAATCTGGAATGTTATTCGTCCAGATCTGGCACTTCAGCTTCTGGCACTTACCCACTGCTGTATCTCCCTTTTACAGATTTTATAAATATTTTCGTCATAATTGTTCTGATGGGCTTCACAATTTGGTACCTAAACTTCATGAATTTAAGCTAGACTGGCAGCTAGGTCTCATCATTTGGAATGGCCACATGTAACCGTAACTTCTTTGCTAATATTTTCTTCTCTCGCACTTCTTGCTTGTGGAAATCTCTCCCGGCTTCTTGCTTCCCAGAAAAATTAATGTCAATCGTTATATTCTGATTCTTTAAAAAATGTTCTCTCATCTTGTTTTCTTTTTCTCATATTCATTCATTGTGTCTTTGTTGCTTTATAGCCGTGTTTCGTGTGAAATGGTAACCCCAAAAAAAAAAACAAACAAACAAAAAAACGAATAAACTATTTTGCCGGTCCTGTTAAAATAGACACCAAGGCTATTTTGCCGATAAATATAGTGTTTTAGAATTAAGAATATATATATATATATATATATATATATATATATATATATATATATATATATATATATTGTAAACAGTAAAATTATAATTACTCCATAATATTGATGATGATCATTACACCTGATAAATTAAAATTAATTCATAAGGATTTCAAATCCATCAGATTAAGAAGCTTTAATTTTAATTTTACAATGTCAACTGATCACCATCAATATGTAGCAATCCTAATTCCTATTGTTTACAATTTATATGCTCTGTTTGAATAAAACATTGAGCTCTCTCTGTGAATCAGTTTTAATATTTTATTTTATATTATATTAATAAGTTCACTTGGAATATATCAACTGGATAGCCTAGGGGTAGAATGTCTGACTGATAAAAATTGGTCGAGTTTCGATCCTGAAAGAATCGGACGTTTAGCCTCACTGAAAAGTTGTGATACAGCATATATATATATATATATATTTTTTAAGAAAAACAGACCACTTTATGGTTCCATTATAATAATTTATTTCACCAAATTATTATAATGGAACCTTAAAGTGGTCTGTTTTTCTTTAAAATATTAACTCTGGTTACATTGAGCTCTCAGGATTTCATCCTCCTTGGGATTACCCATACGGATTACCAAATTTTCATAATTTAACTATATATATATATATAAGCAAGTGTAAATGGATATAAATCCGACAGAATGAAGAAATTTTGAATAAGACTTGTGTTTTTATGTCCATCGTATTTGTCATATTGAACTGAATTGTATTTTGATGAATATTGTCTTGAAAAAGGTTTAATAAACCGAAACGTCAGACGTCGACATTTCTTTCATTTAACTACATTTAAGGATTTTTGTTTGTTTTTTCAAAATTTCTTCATATATATATATATATATATATATATATATACATATATATATATATATATATATATACGCACTTAAGATTAAAACGGACTCATAATTGAGTATAAAATTCGATGGGGAAAGTTTTAACACCAGCATTCTTGGTTTAGGGGCAGTAGAATTTTGAAAACTAAAAACACGAACTTAGTTTAAAATACCTGCGTTTAAATTATTCTAACCTTCAGAATTCATTTAGATCGATCAATGTTTAATATTTATTGAGGTAGAACGAAACAGTCATACACGTATGAAAATGTTACTTTCTTTCGCACCTTTCCGAAGATGATATGAACAAACATCGAAATATTAAAATTAACCCAAACTTTTTAATTTGTCAATTGTGTATTGTTTACCTACAAGCATATTTTTCGGAGTTACTTTTCTTTCTATATATTAATGTGTTTGCTGTTTTCTCAACATCACATGCCACATTGTATCTGCTCACCGATGTCTACAAGCGAGACTCGTGTATTTTTAACCTTTTTCTTTTATCGCGTTGATAGCTGTCTCCGTCTTTCATTGGAGAAGTCATGAAATTCGGGGCAACACTTGTTCTCCCATTCAATTACACAGCTAATGAAATTGTGCATTGCAATCAATCGGCACATCGCATTCTAGGTTGGCTTTTCGCCGCGTTCGTCAAAAGACAACTTAGTAGCTAACAAATGCACAATGAATTGCGAAAGGAGAAGAAAACACCAATGAAATGTTCCTAATGGTGGCACGCATGCCCAGACAGATGCGAACACATAGACGCATGCGCACACAAACGTAAACTAGCATACAACAATGTAAGGAGAACGGCATATTTGTACGTTTGTTTATGTGCAATTCCCGAAAATTAATATTTAATATATATATATATATATATATATATATATAGTAAAGGTAATAAATCCGTTGGTATATAATCCAAGTCGATCTAGAAATATAGAGTATTAAAACTGATCAGCAAAATGAGCTCAATATATTTATTATTACAGAGCAAATAATTAGTACACAATAAAATCCAAAATTACCTCATATGGGCAATAAGCTTATTTCAACCGACGAAATTCGTCAGTTTTATTCAATTCCAGTATAAACCGAGTTCGTGACGGAATGAGAAATTTAACTGTGACAGCTACACACAAAAAAAGAAAAACAAAATGAAAAACTAATACAGAATTTTAATGTTTCAGACAGACGAAAGGCAAGAGGCAATGGTCAGTTGAGGGTGTAAGGCATTAGTCTTA